CTTGTTGTTCATGAGCAATGTTAACTTTAATTTTTCTATTATTAAAATTATATACAAAAATATAATAAAATTTTGTAATTAATAATATGATAAAATAATAAAAATAATGTGAATATAATTATATATTAATATATATGTGTAACACTGCTAGCGCATGATAAAATAAAATTCAAAAACGCTCAAGTCATCAAAAATTAGCGCGAAAGAGTGCATTTCAAGATAAAACGATCAATGAGAGATCAATGATTATTGATCTTTACTATTAGATCCCTAAATTTAGATTAATTATATTAACGAATTATTCAATCATAGTACAACCGTTGTGTTCATTGAAACACAGGCTATAAATCCATGAATTTAATGATAATTATATTATAATTCAATAAGAGATTTCCTATGATTTCCTATGGTTTTTATGATAATAGATGATTTTTTATAAGTCTTAAATCTTAAAATTTAAGCCTAAAAAATTACTAATCATAATCAATCATTTGCCTCACATTCGACTATGATTAATCAATTTCTTACAAAATTATTTTATGTGATATATCACAAAAGTTTTTGAAAACGAAGATTCGTTGTAGAATGGTGAAAATTTTAAGTCTCCAGAAATTCTCTATCGTGTATCCAATCAACTATTTGATGCAATAACTTTCCTTTTTTAATAACTTTTCCTTTAATGTGTTGTTAATAAATTGTACAAATTCTGTGACGTGCACTGTAAGCCGCGATTGCAGGATTTGCATTATTATTTCTTATTTTTATAAGTTTTAGAATACTTTTTTGTTTATCTTTAAAATAATTCTTAACTCTAAATTTACTTTAATTTCTTGAAATTTTAATAAGAAAAGATTATTCCTTTTATATTTTAATTAAATAGCCGGTAAAAATTTTTTATTATATTAAGGATATATATAAATATATATAAATCTATATGAATATATAAATATATATAATTATATATGAAATATGTATGATCATATATAAAAAATAATAAATAGGATAATTTTTGTATTATTTCTTTTATAA